GCAGGTGGTGATGGACTGACTCCTTTGATCTGATGGTTTAGAATTATGAGTAAGACCAGCCTCAATGAAACTAAGATTGGAGCTGATTTAGGATGACAGAAACATATTTAGCCATTAGTTTATCTGTCCTGAAGAAGCTATTTCTCAGAACAGAGGCTGTTCAGGAAGCTTCCCTAACAGATTTTGTTGCTTTTGTGGGGGTGAGTGATAGGGTTAACCTTCTTCTGCCTTAAAATGGGATTAAACATGTTAGTGTGTTTTTAACCATTCTAATCTAATCTAATCTAATCTAATCTAACACTAATTCCCCCTATGAACCTGAGTTACATTTGTAAGAATAAAGAAACAGATCAAACATCCTTGATGTTTCAATTCAATTCAATAATACTTTATTAATCTCAGAGGGAAATTAGAGTGCTGGGATTCAGCCATGTTGCCTCCTTCCCGTCAGTGGGGGGGAGGGGCATGTCATTCCTGATCCCTGCTGAGTCTGGACCTGAAACTTCCAGCCTCACATGAAGGTCCGCTCAGCTCCAGACCCGGTTACTCTAGTTTACTGGTTTAGTTTCACCAGTATGAAACATTGATCTAATCCTAACTAATCCCCTCTGGAGCAAAGAGGATTCCACCAAATCTGAAACACAACTTTTCAGCTTCTGGTTTATTCACTGGACTGCTTCTGTTGTTTTTGTTCAATTTATTTTGTTTAATTTGTTTCTACATCTTTTTTATTGTCAATAACTGACTAAAAACACAAACAACAGGTTCATTCTTAACCGACCCACAGATTTGCAGTTTAGCATCAAATCAGCTGATGCAGAGATTTCTGGTGATGAGTTAAACATCATCAGAACCAAAGACACACACACACACACACACACACACACACACACACACACACACACACACAGATATTAGCTTAGATGTACACAAACACGCTTTTATATAGTTTCTTATTGCTGATGTTTGACGAAACCCAGAAAATGCGATTAATACGACACAATCAAATACCAGATATCGTATCGTATCGCCCTGACAGCGATACAATATGATTAATACGAAACCTGAGCTGCCTGAGATGCAGGACATCTTTATCCACTTAAAATAGGGGTTCCCAATCCTGGTCCTGGAGCACGTTTTAGTGGTTTCTCTGCTCCAACACACTAGATTCAGTGGTTGAATCACCTGTGCAGCAGCTCATCAGGCTCTGCAGAGCCTTCAGATTGAAGAGAGGTGTGTTGAAGCGGGGTTAAAACTAAAACCTGCTGGATACCAGCCCTCCAGGACCAGGATTGGACCTTCTGACCTAAAACTAAAACAGGTCTAAAGAACTTCTGCTTAAAAAATCCTAACAGAACTTTTTCATCTTTTTGTTTCGGTTTGAGTCTTTAAAAAAATTTGATGCCTCCATCATTTTTCTGAGACGTCTCAGATGGCAGTAATCAGGACAGTGTCCCTTAGAGTGAAGACAAGGACATCAAGCCGGTGTGACTCAGGCTGGGACAATCGGCTGAGACGACGTCCAAACAGGACGCGTCAGAGCTGGGACGGCATCACCGCTTGAGCCTCTGATGAATCGGCCCGTCTCCTTTTGATTCTGCCAACTGGACCGAGGTCCGGTTGAGATTAGGAGCGGCAGAAGCTCCGAGGAGCGAGTGACCGAATCCCAATGAGCAGCCGAGGCGTCAGATTAGACCGTATAGGAATGAAGACAGGAAGATTTCTGAGGAGGATTTACTCAAAGCTGCTCTAAATGAAAACAACAAATCTGGCCTCAGGGAGGAAAATAAGGAATAGATTTGGTGTTTAGTCCAGTTTCACCTGGAAAATCTGAATTTGGGTTTAATTTAACATTTTCAGTTCTTAATTCACCAGGATTAAAATCATCAGAACTAATGTTCAGCGATTAAATCAGCATTTTAAACTAAAGATTAATCTGGAACAGACTGAGATTAGCACTCAAAGCAGCAATTAAACAGAACAGACCCAAAACACAGGATTAAAATCAGAATATTCTGGATCATCTTTCAACCGGTTTTCAGGGTGAAGATCATTTCTGGATTAGCGAAGGCACAGAAACGGGTTTTTAAATAAATTTATTCATTTTGGACACAAAAGTAAACAAAACAAACTCTATTGGTGTGTAGAGTTAATAATTAATGAAAGAGTGTCAAAGAAATCCTGTTTATTTTTATGTATGTATGTATTTATTTATTTATTTATTTATTCAATTAAATTCAATTCAAGTTTATTTATATAGCGCCAAATCACGACAAGAGTCGTCTCAAGGCACTTCACATAATAAACATTCCAATTCAGGTCAGTTCATTAAGCCAATCAGAAATAATGTTTCCTATATAAGGAACCCAGCAAATTGCATCAAGTCACTGACTAGTGTCAGTGACTTTACAGCAATCCTCATACTAAGCAAGCATAAAGCGACTGTGGAGAGGAAAACTCCCTTTTAACAGGAAGAAACCTCCAGAGAATCCCGGCTCAGTATAAGCAGCCATCCTCCACGACTCAATGGGGATCGAGAAGACAGAGCAGACACACACACACACACACAAACACACACACACACACACACACACACACACACACACACACACACACACACACACACACACACACACACGCACGCACGCACGCACGCACGCACGCACGCACGCACACACTCACTCACTCACCGCCCGTTAGGATGAATCAATGCAGCCTTTCTGACTTGGAACAGCAAAGTATCCCATAATGCATTGTTTCACAAACCACTATACTCCCAACACCAGAGCAGAACGCTAATAACTTGTTTTGTATCAGAAATACAGATAAAGAAATATAAAGTTGGCTGTTATTGTAAATAATTGTGTGTGTTTGTTTTTTCAGACTTTTCACCTCCCTCAAAATGCTAATAAGCTAGCCAACTATCAAAATAAGAGCATAGCTCTGTTTTGATGAAAAATAAGCTTTTTTCTTCGTTTAACAGCAGGAAAGGCTGGTACTTCGTCAGTTTAGATCAGAAGTGGACAAAATATGTAAATATAGTGTTCATTGTTATGTTGTTATTTAAGGGACAAACTAGACTTTTATTTTTATATGGTCATTTTTGTAACCATAGCAACAAGCTGCACTTTTTGCCATGACGCTGGTTCTGCTCCTCCCGTATTCGGTGGAACGGGTTTTCTGCTGTACTTGCCAAGAACATTGTAGTGCGTCCTTGGGTACTGAGAAGTGGCCCAAGTCTTTGAACTCACCATCACAGCAACAGGTCATCCATATGGGGTTTTTTACTTCCTGAATAAGAATTCTCAACTTAAAATAAATGTAGTCCTATGAAACTGGTGTTGTTCTAAACCAGAATAATTTAAAAAGTAATGTGAATCCGATTTTCATAACTGACCAGGTCAATCAGGTGGGCGGAGTCAAACAATTACATCATCACTTCTGCCCGTCTGATAAGCCACACCTTTTCTCATTTGACTTTTTTTAAATTATTGTTTTGGATCAGTTTTTCGTTAACACAGTATTCAGCATGTTTCAAAACAGTCGTGAAAACCAGTTTGAACCTTGACCTTTGCTCACATGAGCTGAAGGTGTTTAGTCCAACAGGAAGTTGGCCTAAATGGATGATGGATGGATGGCATCTGATGCTACAGTTAGCTTAGCTTAGCTATTTAAAGCCTTTTGCTGCTGTGATTTTAGTTTCTTGTTTTAATGTTTCGACAGTTTGAACAATCAGGTTATTAGTTCAATCAGTTTAATTAAAGGGACACTATGCTGTGCTCTGATTGGCTGGGAGCCAGACTTGTGGCCGTTCAGGTGGATCACGTGGTAGTTTGGCCTGGCAATGTCTGACGACACGTTGCTTTTCCAACCCGCTCATGGAACAGCCAGGGTCCAGAACCAGGACCCGAGACCCTTTAGCAGGTTGTGTTTGTGCTGGTCCCAGACAGCCTGATGCCTGCACACAACTCTGGCTCACCCCTTGAGTTATGCAGCCCATTTCTGCACCAAAACTCTGAGAAAAATCAGCTAAAATCCAAAGAGAAAGTCCTTGAGGAAGTCTGTGGAAGTCCTGATCCAAACGGATTAGAGAAAATCAGAGTCAGATTAAAACTTTTACTCAGGGTTTAGTTCAGTTAAATGCTTCGTTTAATTTGTTTTATTCTGTTTTGTTTTGATGAACATATAAAAACAATAATGTTAAATCAAAATTCTTTAAATGTGTTTGTTATTCCTGTTGTCTGGTGCAGTATAACCAAAGGAGCTTATGGGAAAGAAAATTCTCTCCTCAGAAGATACAGTCCAGCATTTGTTAAACAGCTCCGTAAAGAAGTCATAAAATGGATTTCTTTAGGAATTAACGAGCTGCTCTCACAGCTCAGATCCTTCTGGGTCCATCAGAAACCTCCTCAGAACCATCAAACCTCGTTAATCCCAGCTCTGTCTGGGTCCGACGTTCCTGCCGAGTGTCAGCTGAGTAATCACTCACTCACACACACACACACACACACACACACACACACACACACACACACACACACACACACACACACACACACACACACACACACACACACACACACACACACACACACACACACACACACACACACACATCGCTTCAGATTACGGACAGATCAGATGCTCCTGAACGCAACATAAGGCTCTTCATCATCATCATCATCATCATCATCATCATCATCACCAACAGCAGACATGAATGTTTAATAAAAACAAGCCTTCTGCTAACTCGCTGTCACTAATGTATGGAAACACAATGATGTTAAAATCACAACGCAGGCTGTGGCCTGTGTCACTATGAGGTTAAAAAGCAAGTAGATTCCTAGCCTGAGCTGATCAGAGGCAAGATATTTTTATATCCTGACTATTATTATCGTCTCTCCTGCCTCTCCTACAGCCTCCATCCACTCTGTTGAAGCCTGTGAGAACTTTCTGTCTTTCTTTGTGGACAAAGTCAGTAAGGTTAGATCTAGCATCTC